TTCAACAATATTTTTTTTGTATCACATTGGTATGGATAAAAATTTAATTGAAAGATGTTAATTATGTAACGATGCTATCACACAAAAATCTCCACTTCTTAACTACTTTGCACTTATCTTATCACCATACATGATAAGGTTGAAAATTACAATTTGATTTCAAAATTGTTTTAGGTTTTTATTGACCGAGTATCACTCTTTGAATTCCATTTGAATTCAAAATTGGTGTATTTTTTATTTGAACAAAAAAATTTATGGAATTAACAATAACTAAATCAAGTACATTTAATGGATTATATTGCGTGAGTTTTCAATAATTTATCATAATGAATTATATTCATATATATGTATTTGATTATAATATTTATTTTAATTTGTGTTATATGAATTATTATTATTAAAATCTTGACGTAAAAATTTGTGTTATTATTAATATGGGAGCAATTGATCCTTTGAACTTGAACAAACCGTTTGGTGGGAAGCCGATTGTTTTTGGTGGAGATTTTCGAAAAATCCTTCCAGTCATTCTAAAGGGTAGCCGTCAGGACATAGTCAATGTTGCCATTAATTCTTCTGACATATGGAGGAGTTGTACTGTACTTAGGCTTACGAAAAAATGCACCTTCAGAGATTTGCTAACTCGGATGAATGTGATGAGCTTGCACGGTTTGCAGATTGGATAGCCAACATCAGAGATGGAACTATCAGAGGGTTGAATGAAGGATGTGCATCTATAGACATACCCGAGGACATTTTTCTTCAGCCATCTTATGATCCTATTGCTCAGATAGTTGAAAGCACATATCCAATGTATAAAGAGGCACCCGACGATCAAAGTTATTTGAAGGATAGGGCTATATTAGCGCCTACGTTGGATGTGGTCGAGTCTATCAATCAGTACATGACATCATTGAATTTGTTGGATGGTCGTATGTACTTGAGCTCTGAAAGTACGTGCAAATCGAATTCTAATAATGATTTTTTGTCTGATCTCCATACGCCTGAGTTTTTGAATAGTATCAAGTGTTCCGGAATACCGAACCATGAGTTGTATTTGAAGATTGGAACTCCAGTCATGTTGTTGCGGAACATAGATCATTCTATGGGTTTGTGTAATGGGACACGATTGGTAGTGACAAAGCTATCGACTCACGTTCTTGAGTGTAAGATACTACAGGAGATCATGCTGGTGATAAGGTGTTGATTCCAAGAATGTCCATAACTCCTTCTGATGTTAGAATTCCTTTCAAGTTCCAGCGGCGACAGTTTCCCATTATGGTTTCTTACGTCATGACTATAAACAAGAGCCAGGGACAATCTTTATCTCATGATGGCTTATTTCTTAAGAAACCAGTGTTCAGTCATGGCCAGTTATATGTTGTTGTTTCCCGTGTTACTAAACGAAAAGGTTTGAAAATCTTAATTTGTGGCGAAAATGACGTACCAAAGAATCAAACCAATAATGTTGTATATAGGGAAGTGTTCAATAATATATGATTTTTTTAATTTAATGATATGTTTATATGTCTATTATTATGATCATGATCATTGCCTGCATAACACAATTTATATACAAAATTATTTTTTAAAAACATTCTAGATAATAATATCCCCGTGCATCGCACGGGTGACTACTAGTACAGTAATATACAATCCATGGCTTTACTTCGCCAAAATAAATTCAGGTAAATTGAAAAATTACAAGTGGGGAGCTCGCTCGAGTTGTAGCCAATCACCAATACGATGTTTAATTTTTTACTATATTTGAACTGCAGTTTATTTAGCTCATTATTATACCCGTGTGAGTCATGTATTGATGCATGAAGTTTTCACCTATGACTATTTTTCACATTTGGCTTCAATTAACGTTATCCATTTCATAACTTCATACGTTACGATCAATGTAGGTAACATACATTAAAATCAATGTAGGTAACAAGATTACTAAATTTATTGAGTTTACTTTATGTTTACCTAAATAATATCAATCCAAAAGAAAAAAAATTCTATAGAAAGACATCTATTAATATTTTTAAGGAAAAAAATACCATGATATAATCAGCCAAGCAATAAGAATCGTCGATGCCGAAAACACGATAGACAACTCTGATGGGCCAAAAATGAAGAAACATGTCTACCATTCACAGCAAAAAGCCAAAAATGAAGCAAATCAAGCAGTGTGCCTGCCAGTTCACGGCAAAAATGTGGCAATATGCCTGCAGCCTTCTTCCTACAAAGTGCAAAGTATCTAAATTTCAGCTATAACTCATTCGCCATTGGAATGATGACACAAGAAGTCGTCATTAGAATGATGACACAAAAATTGACGAGCTTCGACATAAGTGCCCCTTCTGCGGCAATTATTTTGAAACCGAACATATGTTGAAATGCTTGAAATGCTGGACCCTGTTTGGTTTCGAAATAATTGCCACAAAAGTCACACCTGTTTCAAAGCTCGGCCTATGCATGTTAATAGCGAGTTTGAGTTGTATAGCCAAAATTTAGATACCATATATATTTAAAGGAAAGGGCTTGGGATGCTACTCTAGCTCGGGCTCTGGCCAAAGTGTCATCACTACAAAAATAGTACAAGTAGTATAGTATAGTGAAGATACATATTTCCCAATTAGAAAAACATTACATACTCAAAAGACGAACTTGAAATAGATTGAAAGCATCTAACAAGATTAAATGTCTCGTGGTTAGAGAATTGTAAGAGAATTAACACCTTGGCTATGTAAAGCAACTTAGTTTATGCACCACGTTGACGCAAAGCACACTTCTGAAAATGACAAGGACTGTAGCGAAAATTGAAGCGTGAAACAAATCCATCCATTACAAGGTCTTAGAATAAAAGAAAAAAGAATAAACTAAAAAGGAAAAAGAAGGAAAATAAATAAAAATAAAATAAGTACCATAACCTAAGAAAAGAAATGGCCTTGCTAGTCATGAATTTTAGGATAAACGGATCATGTGGTACATGACAATTCTACCCACAAGAGTAGTACATGAAGAAGCCTTTTCATTTCCTATGTTTTGTCCCTTTGTATGACAAATATATGGCTGAGATTATCTCTTATGCATGTCTGGTTAGGATGTCTTATCAATAGGGTTTGGTTACTATAAACAGATAGATATTGTATGGCAAACTATGGCATTGAACAAAGCATCATTCTCTTATACATGATTCTGCCAATGTTCCAGTAAAGCTCATGCGAAAAAAATGTGGAATATATCATTAATTACACCAATAACATGACAAGAAATACAATTAAATTAAACAAGAAGTTATCTTTAATGTTCATGGAAACTCAGTTATCGTAAAAGGTTCCTAAATGCATAAACTCTTAACAAATATTACATTTCTGTGTTCCTCAAGTTGAGTTGAGGTGGAATATCACTTTCTTTTAAGAATAAGACCTTTCTAGCTACCTAGTTTGAGTTCACCCAAAAAACAACAGAAAACAAAAAATGTGAGAAATGAGCAATATCCATCACTAATACAATGAAGCAATAAAACTAATGATCACTAGACTGTTCTTAGGTTTGGTCTTTTGATCTATTTCACAGAATCACAGTGACAAAATACAACTAATTTTATTTTCACATATACACAGTATAAGAATCAATGTTACTAAGTATGGTTTAATTATTTTTCATATGGGCATTTGATGTGTCTGTGTTAAAAGATTTTATACTTTCGAAGAAACTTACACACATATCAAGGAAATCTATTTTTACCTCTTAATCTTGATAGAGAACCAATGAATGTCTCATCTGCTAGACTGCTATTCATGTCTTGTGGTGGCATTACCTCATCGGAAAATATGTAATCACATTAGGTTATGTTATTACGTATGTATAACATTCTGGTATACAAAATGATATTAAAGAAACAAAAAACCAAGCTTATGAACAACATTATTCATGCGGTTCATATACAAAATTCCTTAAAAACAAGCATCATGTACAAAACAGATCTTTAAAGAGTAGAGATAAGAAAAACAAGTTGTTAATAACTATAAGATAAGGATTTTTTTTTATACCAGAACACACGAGGATAACAGAAAAAAAAAACAAAGGGTTAATTTCAGCACTTTAAACAAAGAACAAATCTAAAGATAATAGCTGAAATATAAATTGAAGAGAAAAAACGGATCTCCCTTTCGTTCGCCGGAATCTCACAGGTCACAGAGAAAATCCGAGTGTATAGTCAATAACAGAGAGAGATAGAGAGGGGTAAAGAGATCAGCAGCCGCAGGAGGTAGTGAGTGTGTATTGTAGGGCAAGAGAGATGAGAGGTTATTTAAGAGTCGAGATGGATGGTGGAGATTTATTCTTAAATCCGACGGTTCAAATCCAACCTTGCCAGGGCCAGGCCCATCGTGATTTGGTCTGAGCTTCCTTGGGCCAACCTTGTCACTTTGATTTGTGATTTATTTTCTTTTTAATTTTTAAATTACATTATTTTTAGTTTATCACTCTTGAATTATCTATTATTTTATATTTTGAATTTAGTTTTTTTGGCAAAAGTTATTAAAAAGTATTGTAAACATGTAAAATAGACAGAGACATAAACAATGTATTCGTTTATTCAGTAAAGCCTTTCTCATTAAAATTAAAATGACATAATTTAAAATAAATAAATACTATTCATTTCATTTCATTGTTTCTCTACAAATTCATTATCAATATTAAAAAAAATATTTATCAACTCAATAGTTCTAATTATCAATCCTATTAATTAATACTTTATCACGTTAATTTTAATTCCTATATTTTTTATGTTATATTTATTTACATTTTAATTTTATTTCTTTTTTTTTCATCTCACTTTTTACGAGACAGAAAATTTATTGAAAATTTTTATATGAATAAAAAAAATTATCTCGCCTTTTATTTTCCCCACACATGTGTATACAAATTACAAAAACAAAAAATTCAAAATAAAAAAATATCTTTATTTTTATCAGCAGAGAAAATAGCTTACATTACACCAGATGTTTTCAGTTTCCACCACCACAATACTTAGCCGTCGGCGTTTCCTCTCACTATACAGACTTAAATTGGCCTCAACCGATTACTCCGACGAGGAAAACCTAGGTCAGATCGGAATCATACCAAATCAGCTAGTGTTTTTTATTTTATTTTTAGTAGCTAAGGCTTAATGCTTAATGTTTTTATCTGCATTAAAGGACTTCTCGCAGATTTAGACACTTTATTTATATTGTTCTGGATTGAACAGGAGCTTGCGGCAGTTTAGCATTAAACTTGTGTTGGTTCGAGAAGTTATTCTGTTTGACATTCATTTTGATTTTGCTCATTTTTATGTTGTTTGTCTTGGAAAAATCATGACAAGTGTGGAGTATACTCTAATTAATCTCTCTTACCGTTCATAGGAGTTGACTTAAAATATCGACTGAGGTTGCAATAGCTTTTCGGAAATAGCTAAGGAATATGTTCAGGTATTTGAATAAGCATTACATATTTACATTGTATGGAATCGAGCTGTTGTCCGTTGCAACTCAAAAGGGAGTAGTTAATGTTGTAATAAACAGAAAATTCATGGAATCGAAGAAGAAATTTCCCCTTACATCAAGCAATTACGAGTTGTAAAGATTTTTTTTTTTTTTTTTTTCTTTTAACTTATCTTTATTAACAGGATGGCTCCTGAAGTCATGTTGCAGCAAGTGCGTGGATATGATTTTAAGTGAGAATTTGTTTTAAAAGGTTTTATTGCTTGTATTTCTTCTATCTCCATTTATTTCTTAATTTGTATGATTTGCTTTCTCAGGGCAGATATCTGGTCATTTGGAATAACAACACTTGAGCTTGCTCATGGTCATGCACCAAACTGGCATTTTGCTTCAGTATTTTAATTGAATTTTGTAAGAATTTTAATCATAATCCTAATTTTCACTCTCAAGAAAAGGACATTCTTGTTCAAGATAAGGAATTATATGAGGAAAAAAAGCATCTATAATATCACAGGTGAGTGTTTCAGAAATAGAAATAGGCTAACTGAGAATCTAATATCTCAATATTTGTTCTATTATGCATCAAAAACAAATTATATTCATCATTATACTTGACAACTTTTCACTCTCTATCGGTCTTCATTACTTATTTCTTGTTTGCAATCGCCTACGAGATCCAAACTAGAAAAATGATGAACAAATAATATCAGAAAATGTGACAACATTTCTAAAAGGTATTATGTCCATTTTCTTACAAGACCTATCCTTAAAATGCTCTGCTGTGTAAGCCTACTATCCATTGATCAGTTGCATAATGTATCAGATTTTATAAATGCCAGATTCTCATTAGTAGTTGTTCACCGATTTCAAGATGATCTCATTTCAAATTCAGAAGATTCAAGTGTGAGTGAGAAGACTGTATCCCGAGCGAGTTAATCTTAATGCTGCTTCTCAATTGGAAGTATGTTTTCTAAAGTGATAAATCATGTTATTATCAATATTCACTCATGTATCTATATATATCTATATATAAGATATGGGTTAAATGAGAACTCTTCACTATTGTGGGAAACTATGAAATGATCTGATTTGTATTTCACTTTGCTCAGTGAGTCAGCGGAGCGGAGGCTTCATCAAATGACCTTTTGGAGGTAAATGTATAATTACAATTTTTTTAGCTAGCAGCAATCTAATACTTATATAATAAGAATTAGCATTTATCCAAAATAGTAGGTCAAATTATGGTCGGATTTGCATTAAATATTTTCCAAAATTGGTATGTTTTTGTCCTTTTCACACTTCTCATTAATTATGTCCTTTTCACACTTCTCATTAATTATGTCATTTTCACACATCTAATTAATTCATTAATTACGACATAATTATCATAAATCATTCAATTTGAGCTTTTATCGTTAAAATGTATAGCGATCTGTTATGACCTTATCTCATTGATATTTCCATGAAGCGTCCTTATCGCGTTCTATTTTTTTGTAACCACTCTATATCAATAATCGGATATTTGGTTAATGATAGCACACGTCTTTATTTCAAGAAACAGATATTCTTTGACCTTTAATTAATCTGAATTGATTGCCTTGACTTTTCAATTTTTAAAAACTCTTTTTTTAAATATTTCGGCTTAAGATTCGGATTTCATTATACAAGACATCGGATTGTTTAAATGAAAACGAATGAAAAGAACACCAAAAACATGTAGCCTTATTCATATAACCAATCATAAAATGTTAGTTTGTTCACCAAAAATATTAGTTTGATTTTTAGGATTTGTCTCTTTTGAAAATATTAGTTTGTGATAATGAGGAGTTACCAAATAATCAAACTCATAATGTTGTGTACAATGAGGTATTTAATAATATATGATTGTTACCGAACTTTTTATGATTCAACAATGTTCTTATATACTTTAATGATTTCAATTCGATCCTAATGTACGTGAGGTTATATTATTCTTCCAAATTTTACATCACGTGCATCGTACAAGTTATCACGTACTAGTATGTTTTACTGGTTGGACTTTATTAGCGTCATTTTATTATACATGCTTAGCATATAGGGCGAGTTTATTTTAATTAGTTGCCATGTGGGATAAATTTTACATTATTAGTAACTTCTATGTCGGTAAACATATATATCATATAATTTGGTTGAATGCACCCGAAGTACAGTGCTGGTGGGCAATGATCATGATAATAGAGTGATATAATACCATATTTATTGGGCATTACTATTTATTGCCCCCTTTATTACTATATACCACCTCTTTTGGATATTTTTGCCCCTGCCATTTTTTTCTAAAAAGTAAAAAAAAAAAATTGTCCGGCCGCCGAAACCGGACGGCCCAAATGGCGTCCGGCCCCGACGGCCGGTCGTGACCGGTCCGACCGGCCGGACACATGTTTTTTTTTTAATTATATATATATAAAATAATATTATTATAAATTATTATGTTATATATTCAAAATAATTTGTTATAAATTGGACATTAGAATAAAAAAAAATCATTCAACTAAAGTTTAGCAAAATAAAAAAAACCATTCAACTTAAAAATGAAAAAAAAAATACCATTGATGCGATTTTCGATTGCTCTGTAACACGAACGAGTCTGTCTCT